AAACACGCTCCATTCGCCCAACCACCACAACAAAATTAAATCAATCAATGCATAATACAACCAAACAAACACTAACATCCCACAACTGACTTCATCATCGCAGCAGGGCCGCCGGTCTCGATCTCCTCCAGCACCGGCTTCAGGGTCGGATCCTCTCGTACCGCTGCCATGCGCTGCTCCAGCTGCTCCTTGTGCGCGGGGTTCGTCAGGTTCGACAGCATGCCCGACATTGCGGGGTCCTGCAATCCACGCGTGTCCGTACTGGTGAGACTTCCCCCGTCTACTGTTCCTCCGACACTGCAATCCCAGCAATCTCCCATTCGCTACCATTCATCTCACTCAAGGACGGACACGCCCCCAAAGGTCTCCGAGGACTACCACCATGCACTGGACATCCCCCTACAAGACCACTCACAAAACGTGCCGCCGGGCCCCGTCCCCCTCGCATACCTACCATGCCCGAGCCCCTCCTCTACTACCACCTTTCACCTACGCCACCACTCTAACCGCACACATCCGTATACACTTCCTACCCCCTTCCCTGCTCCACCAACCACCCCACCCAACGAACGCTACCGCACCTGCATCAGGGCGTTGCCGAGCCGTTCTGCCATGGTCATGAACTGAGGATTTTGCATCACTTGTTGCATCGCGTTGATGTACTGGTTCGGGTCCAACTGGGGAGCCCCCCCGCTTCCAGCACTCTGCACGCTGCTCTGCAGCTGCTGGGCCATCTGGGTGAATGCGGGATCTTTAGCGATCTGCTCCGCCATCTCCTTGATGCTGGGATCCTGAACACCACCACACACACACTGTCAGCAACGCGTTGCCCACTTCCAAAATACGTCCCATCACCCCCTCACGAACAAACCGCATCACACGGAAACGGCACAACGCCTGCGTCAACACACCACCACCACCACGTCTCCTTCACAATTCCATTGCCAACTCCTAACGTGGACTCAGTACACATGTCCACACCGTCCAAGCGCTCGGCAGCGGCAGCGATATGAGCAACCGTGTTCCGGCAACCCGCACGTTCCTCGACAAGCAACTCTAGCCTCCAGTCCCCCCCTCGATGCCTCGTCACGAATAATTCGTCATTCCATGAGCATCGTCGTTGTCAACCCACTGGCTCCTGACTTCAGCTCAACAGTGCACCCCACACACCACCCAACGACTTCAACCTCTCCTGCAATCCCCTACATGACACCCGTGCGCCATTCCGTGTTTCGTTCCCACTCTTCTCACCACGGACGCGTCGCACTCCTGTCCATGCCGGATCCCACATCTCGTTCCGCGCATCGCTTCCATCCCTGCTAAACTCGCTCACTACGCCTCCGTCCACACCCTCGCAACCACATTGTGCGGCTCTGATGCCCGCCACAAAACCATGCCCATGCCCATGCCCAGCCCAACACACACCCCGCACCCCTGTCCACTCCACGACTCCCAAGCTTCGGACTCCACAACCGGCCTCACAATCCCCCGTCTCACATTAACGCGCCCTGTCATGCTGACCCCTGACTGCCACCGACAACATCACCATCCCACAACCAGGGACTGTGCGACCACAACGGAGGACGACCCTCCCTCGACACCACGGCCACGGCCGTCAACCCCACCACAAACACGCGACAGCAAGGTGCAGTAGGATGGGACGTACGTTCAACAGCCCAGACATGGCTGAAAAATCGAATGGGTTGGCTCCTCCCTCCTCGCCACCGACTCCAGCGCCCGATGCGCCCGCAGCTTTCTCCTCAGCACCCGCCGCGGCCGGAGCCTTCTTCTCTTCCACATCTCCAACCTTATCTGCAACCCACAATCCATCAAACTAATGCCATGTCCACCGACCACCCCTCCCCGCAATCATCATCGTCACCATCATCTCTCTCCCATGCCAGCTCTGCTGTAGCCACCAACGACCTCGCACACCGACACGGAGATAACCCCTCCGCGTCCACATGCCCTAAATTTGCACCACTTCGACACCGCGATGGACAATTTGCCCCCTCCCCTCACCATACCGCATCCTCCCCACCACTGACCTAATCCTCGCCCTCGCTCACCGCAACTGCTCCCGAATTCCCGACTCAGCTAGATTTCTGCACCCACGTTGAAGGACTAACGCATCACTGCTAACATGGGTCCGGCCACCCCACGCGACCGTGCTGCACACGTCACACTCCATTGCGCAATTACGCTGGGCGGAACCACCCGCCCGGTTCCGCCCACCGCTGCTGCTGATCCTACCACTAAAGATGCGCTCTTCGCCAGCCCCCTCCCCCCCCCCCAACCAGTCACGGGCACCCACGAACAAAGAAATCTTGCGAGACCTAGCCACGACCTCCGATCCTCACAAACGACCACACGCTCGCCTTCCACCGGTGGAATCGCGCGGCGCTTTCATTCTCCCTTTCCGCTACACAAACCCACCTCCCCAAGATTCGCACACAACCGCTGCGCTGCGCAGCGCGCGTTCGCCGCACCATCGACCGATCACAACTCCTCGCACCCGGTCAAAATAGCTCGCGCAGATTCACTAACCAACCCTCCGCACGACGCCTCATCCGCAAACACTGCCCGCGACAACCCTGATGCGCACCGGAAGACCTCTCTCAGCCACCGCCTTTGCCTCCTCCGCCCCATCAAACATACCACAAGCGCCCGGAGACCGTAGGATCCCAGTCGTTGTGGCACACCCGGTGCACGGGGCGGGACCACCGGCGACACCATCCCGGCCACAAACACTCTCCACGATTCCAGACCTCAACCCAGCTCCCCTCCTCGCACCAAACACGACCCCCAACTCCCCCAACGACCCGCACGCCACCACCCAACCAAGCCACACATTTCGAGCGGAAGTACTTACCAGCGGGGGCGGCCATGGTGCCAGACGGAGCACAAGTGACACCTGCGCGCTACTGCAAGGGATGAGAATCCGGGAGACAACGCAAACGCAAACGCGCACCACGAGCAGCAGGGGTGGATATGAAGAGAGATGAGATGGGAGCTGCGAGATGAGAGAAACGGACAAGTCATAAGGCCTCACACCTCTTAACTCCGCCTTCCATCCTTCGGATGCTATCCTCTACCGCGGGATGCCCGGTGCAGCCTGTGCTGTTGCCTGCAGTCGCCCAAGAACAGCAGCACGCTTGTGGAGCCTTGATGCGGTGGCCCCATACGACCATCAGTCGCCCCGGAGAGCTCGGAAGTGGCTCGACGGGTTGATCTCGAGTTCGGTTTTTGAGCTTGTCATATTCCGCAACTACCGGTGGATGTCAGCCAGCGGTTGGATGCTGGCTGGCTTGGTACAGGGGAGTTCGGTTTGTGCCTCCGGTTACCAGCGGTCGCGGCGAAACATTATCCCAACGAAATCTAGAATGATGCCAAAACTTGTGCGAGGGCTTTGACCTGCTCGCACCCGGGCTTCGCTTCGGTGTGGGATGGAAAGTCGATGAGCTGTCGCGGAAACCGACCCCAACGCTGTGCACAGCTGCATAACCACCTGCAACGAGTGATTTTCCCAGCCGCTGCCCCTCCTGTGGCCCCTCTTTTGTGAGGCGGAAGGATGGGTTTTCATCGAACCTTGTGGGTAGTGTATGATCGTGTTCTGATGCATTGAGGCTTGGGACTGTTTTCCGCAGATCTCCTGCTGTTGTGCGTTGTTTTTGAGCATGGTCGTTTGCTAGCTAACATTTTTTTGTGTTTGAAAGTTTGTTCGTAAAGACCACACTAGTTGTCATGCGTTTCTGGTTCAGTGAGGAAATATTGGTAACAATTGGATTGTGTGCATCTCGGAGGTTAGGCGGAGAAGGCATGAAATCAGAACAAGAATATGAATTTTGGTGTTTACCAATGCTAACAATAGATGTTTTCTTGTTAACAATCATTTTGAAAATTAAACAAATGTTAGCTTCTTCAAATAGTTCGAAAGGGAATAGGATGATTGGTGAAGGAATGGAGAAGAAGAGGTATGAGGATTTTAACAATTATATTATGCCAGAATGGATCTTATTTTGAAAGTCACAGTTTAGAAACAATTTTCTACCTGTGGACTAATTAAGTTAGTTGTATAGAATATAATTCACTGTGATGGATTTTTAGTAGAAAATAAATGAGATAAACAATATTTTGTCAATTGTCTTTTTGTTTGACTTAAACTTATTAATGGTTCTTAATTTCAGAATGTTTAGAAGAGTTTAGTGTTGTATTTGTTTCTTATCAACTAAATCACATTATAAACTATTACTATAAAAATAGAATTGATAAGAATTTATTTACAATAGTAGAAAAACAATAGAGATGACTAGAATTATTATGATGATATTTGATGATGTTGTAAAGTGAGTAGAATCCAAAGATGTTGTTTTGTTAAGGATTTTTGACAGTCTTGATTAATTAGTAATAAATATCATTGTATAATCTTTTAAAATAGTATTATTTTTCTATAAAATCTTCTTTGATATGTATTCTTTTGGTCAATTCAACCAAAATAAAACTAAATAAGATAAGAAAATAATTACAATGAATTACTAAGAGCCAATACATGTTATGTTTATTTATATCTAAAATCCTCAGGTATTGTAGTCCAATTTTGCAACATACTCTAAGCTCAATAATTCTCTCCATCATATATTTTGTCATTAATAAAACTTTCAATATGAACATGAATATTAAATTTGATTTTTGATATATATATATATATATATATATATATATATTAAGTATAAAAATTAATATCCTAAAAAATATATCTTGTGATTTATTATTTATTATTATATTTTGATTAATCATATATTTTGAATAATGAAAGAAATAATTCTAGTACTAATTATTGGAGTTATTTCAAATTTAAATTGCTTCTAGAAAAATATATCAAAGAAATTTTTTGCACTCTACAATAAATATTTTATGAAGTTGGTTTTAGTTGTAACTAAGTTACATAAGTTTTTTCTAATTAAGCTAATCATTTGAGCATTATTTTTTATTAGATAGTTCAATTTTATATATGAATGTTTTTTCTCAAATCAAACAATTGTCTTTTAGGCTACAAATACTTTAATACAACATTGTTATATTATAAGTTTTTTTACGTAGCTTCATCTTCACTTTTTTGTACCTACACAAACATTCTTTTAAATTGGTACTATGCACTGCTTCTTTTATTGCTTTAAATAGAGAAAAAAATTCAGATACAATAAAGCTTCTTTGATGATGTATTGCTACTTGTGTTTTTATTAATTATATTTTTAATTAGTATTAATAATTAAAAATAAATATTTATTTATTAATATAGTTATCTTATTATATTTTCATATATCTTATGTTTTATAAAAGGTGTTTTAATAAGCATCAAATAGATTTCATGCAAAAATTATGTAACATTTATTAATTCAATATTAATGAAAATTTCTTCCTAGTCATTAACTTGACTCAGTCTTCAAGTTGACTTAATAATATGTAACATTGAATAATTTATGGTGGAGAGTCAATCTATTACATAAAAATTAAAGATAATTCATAAAAGTCTCCTAAGATTCAACCATGTGTTTTATTGACATAGTTCACTTCTCATAAATCTTGTATAAATTCCTTGACATTGGTTGTAAGAATAGCTACTTATACTTATAAAGTCATTAGAATTGCACATTTTATACATAAAATGATCACAAAGGCCATCTTTGTGATTCATAGAGATAATTTATATCTACTAAGTTTATGACAAATCAATTCAAATTGGTAGTCTGAAATCTTAGAACAATATATTCATGAGAGTAGTCACTTAATATTATAAAAATACTCTAAAGGAAACCAAAGGGCTAGTGGTAGAGGTATTCAAATGCTAGACTCCACTCTTTCTATCTCAAATCTTTTTTACCTGTGCAAGCCTCTTCTGTACTTGAAACCACTCAATATAGTGATAGAGAAATATATTCAATGCATAAAACTTTTTATTTGCATATAAAATGAAACTAAACATGGTACATTAGATCCATTGTGGAGGCATTTACTATAAGTTTGGCTATATTGTTTTATTATTATTGTCATCACCTATTGGATTGTATCATCATCAAACAAACTTGTAATTTTTTTCTTCTACAACTACAACTACAAGCAACAAAGATTTGTAACAAACTACCATCCAAACATAATTTAAAGATATAAAAATCATGTAGACTATTGTTGAAATGGGACTAAATTCTCTTTAAGATTTAAAACCCTTCCAATCTATAGCAATATAAATCCTATCACAATATAAGACAAAATAGATCAGAATCAAACTAAAGAGAACTAAATAAAATAAAATAATGAAAGACAAAATAGAGCAAACAAGAATAGAATACAACAAAATAAAAAAAATATAAACCAAATTAAATTGAGAAAAAATGACCAAATCTACAATTGATCAAATATCCAAATGGCCTTGGCTAATCCTATTTATACTTTATCCAACCATCTTAGAACTTTCTAGAATGTCTCTAAAGGTGGATTCTTTTTAAGATAATTATTACTTTTAAAAGGTCCTAAAGGTAGATCCCAATAAGATAATTTCTTCAAGTCTTTTTAGAATGTTCCATGGTAGATTTCATATGGACCACCAATCTAACTCTAATTCTAAAAACTTCTAAAAACTTCTTAAAAATGGCTCCAACTACCTATCTCTATGCATCAATAATATAAATGCTCCGTTACAATCTTTGTTTTACTTCCAATGGTATTTCCAAATTGTTTCTTGACAATGGATGAAGTTCTGTGTAAGTTTTTATATTGCTTTGTAAATGGAATAATCTTTCTTAAAGACTTTGTACTAAAGTTGTAGATGTCCATTGCCACAGCAAAGGTAGCAGTGCTCCAAAATATTGTCCACTTCATACTCCTGTTGATCATCAATTATAAATGGTGGTAGTGGTGGTTAATGTCAATCCAAGAAGTACCTTGGTTCAATATGAAATCCTTTAAGTTTTAAAATATAGAAGATCAGATAGACCCGAATATGTAGTAAAAGCTGAAGGTGGTGTATAACATCAAAAATCACTACAAAAATGTAGAAAGATTGAAGCCACTAAGGTACCAACTTACAAACTTGGATTGATGTAGCAAGTGGAAAGTTGGCATTAGAGAGTAATACCTAATCATCCTTCTGAAAGATCTTGTATTGTTGGTAGTAATCCGCGTATTTCTTCTATCATTAATATGTGGTAAAGAAGTAGTACTGTGCTTCTTGCAAGGCTTTCGTAAGCTTTTATATAAATTTTTTCATTGTTGGATTGTTAATGTCAATGGGACAATGGAGAGTTGTTGGTATAATGAAATCTTAATTGATATTAATAAAAAACGGTGAATGATTGATACTTGCTTGAATACTATTATTATAAGCAAATTCTAAAAGCATCAAATATTTATTCTAGTCATTATGGTGAACTACCATAAATACTTATAGTATATCCTTCAAGGTTTGATTAATATGCTCCATTCGTTCATTTATTTAAGGATGAAAGGTCATAGACATTACAAGTTGTATTTCTAGTAGTTTAAAAAAACTTGCTAGAAACTTCCCATGGAGTATGGATCTCAATTTGAAACAATGACATGAGACAATCCATGGTGATGAAAGATAATATTGAAGAAGATCTATGCAAGTAATAGAGCATCAATATTAAAGTGTTTTACAACCAAGTGAAGTTACTTTAAGAGTTATTCCACAGAGACAATAATTGCTATGTCATTGTGAGGTATCTATGGCAAACATGTAATGAGATCTATGGTTCCATCATGTCATAGGTAGTAGAATTTGGTGGAATAGCTTAAGAAATACTACATTATGTGCTTTATTACATTGGCATAATTTGCAAGAGTACTTAAAATCTTAAACAACATGATCCAAGCTTATCCAAAACCATGCCCTTGAGATACATTCTAGAATCTTTTCATGCCCTAGATGCTTAGATTTTGAAATGTTGAGTCTCTCTTGAAGTATGTACATTATTGTATTATAATTATTTATAGTATGTAAAAAATTAATTAAAACATATAATATAT